ACATTGTATGCTGGTGAGGTAGCTCAGTTGGTTAATTCACTGACTACAAATTCCCATAACATTAATTACTATTCAGTTAATTCCGAGAGCATGTGTCCCACTGGGGGATTGGCACTATATAAATACTGGTTATTATTATTATATTACAAAATCACATTATTTTACCACATCAGATTTCCTGCATTACAAATTCACATTAAACTTAAATTCTATTTCTTCGCCACAGGCCTTTCTTTTGCTACATAAAATTATTACTAAGGTGTGGGACTCTGGAATGGGGAACCCACCAGTACTGAGAATCATGTTACACTCTTCATATTTCATCTTTGGGGCCCTAGGGAGCTGCCGCCCAATATATAAATATTATAGGCTGTCCAATGCTGTGATATATGTTCTGACACCGGTCAGTTCACTTTTCTTAATTTTTCATGTTTGATAGACATTCTTGTATTATGTTGTACTAATGTGTACAGCTTTACACTATTTGGTACTTTTGCTATGTGATGACTGGAATATGTACCCTTTTCTAACTTTGAATCTCTAATAAAAACAAATTGAATAAAGAAAAAAATATGTTTTATTTTATTCTTAGCACCTTGTCGTATGATCAAAAATACCTGCCTTAACTTATTTTCTTCACCCTATTGACAGTTAACCCTTTACCAGCACCCTCAAAGTAATTTTGCAGGCTAACACTGATTTGACCATATAAGGACATCAAATTACTTAATCCCTCTTTAAAACTAACCTTATTTGAATTTCATCTTCTAAATTACTAAATAAGTGGTACAAATATGCCAAGAACAAAAGGACTGTACAAACAAAAATGCAAGACTCATAGGTTAACATGTACATATAACTTGGCCACAAGGACATTAAGATACATTCACAAAATAGATAAGCCAAGGCTGCATGGAGATTAAGAAGCTAGGCCATCATATGCCTGCTCCCAGGCATTGATGAACAGAAATTGAGACCAAGGAATGATGACTGAGATCGACCCAATTTTGGACGTTGCAAGATCTCCCTGCAGAGCAAAGCTGTTTCGCTGCCTGAAACTGGGGTCTGCCTGTGCAGGCAAATACTGTTTCTGGTGTCACCTATAGGAGAAGCAGACCCCGACCTCGGACGCACAGTTGCAGGGGGCGATATGCGTACCTGCTGCGTGCGGCACCGGAATAATGGCACAAAGACTCAAATCAGTTATATCTAAGTTAATATATATAGATCAGGTGGGATTCATACTGGGGAGATCTTCATCCAGTCACATACAAACATGGTTAAACATCTTTGAGATTGCCAAACAAAGTCCCAGTGCTGGCCCTGTTATTGGATGCTTAGAAAGCCTTTGACAGGTTCAGTTGGAAATTCCTTTTAAATATTTTAAAAGCCTTTGGTTTTTCAGAAAAGATCTACCAAGCCATAATGGCCCTCTACTCTAACCCTATGGGGAAAGTAATAGGCCAGGGTATCTTCTAACTCATTTAAATTAAACAACAGCACTAGACAAGGCTGTCCACTTTCCACATTTCTATACATTATGACTATTGAAGTACTTGCGCTTGAGGTAAGGAATAACGAAAAAATTAAAGGTTTCAAAGATATTGTAGAGATCAAAATGACGCTCTGCGCAGATGACGTTCTTATAGTGTTGAAGGATCCAATAAACTCAAACAATGTACTAATGACAGTGATACAAGATTATTGATACTTTCGAATTACAAATTAAACACTTCTAAAACAACTGCTCTACCGTTTGTTTGTTTGTTTGATTGTTTGTTTTAACTTCACAGATGAAAGCCAGGATCATGGAATTTTTTTACTTCCTTTGGGCAAAGGAATAATTCACTTACTTGGGCTTGAAAATATTGATAAACCGCAAAACTCAATGGAGTTTAATCATCTCCCCCTGATAAAAGAGATTAATGCTAAATTCAACTCTTAGAGAAAAAAAAATATTGTGGTGCGGCAAGATTAATACTTTAAAAGCATATGTTATTCCCAAGCTAACATACATGTTAAGCCTAATACCATGAAATATTCCTTTAAATTGGATCAATCTCTTACAGTCCTCTTTCTCTAAATTTACATGGTGAAAAAAAGACTAAGGATAAGCTTCAAAATAGTGTAAAAAAAATAAGTGATGGAGATCTTGGAATTCCATCTTTAGTAAGACTTGTTTGGGCTACTTTATTAACCCATGCAATACAAACCTTCCATAAATCATCCCTGGAGGAATGCTGGTACAAACTAGAATCCAAGATCATAGGCCCTTTTAAATCTGTATCGTCAATCTTTTGGATACCATACCAAAATGCCAAAATTTTTTAATGGAATCCTTTCCTTAAATCACAAATTGAAAAATTGGTACGAAATTAAACTGAAGTTAGGTTTAGCAGAGAAAGTTATTTAATCTCTCAAAATAGAATTATTAAATGACCTACTGCCTGACATCAATCTATTCTCATGGTCAAACAATGGTATTAAAATGGTAGCAGACCTAATCAAATCAGAACCTTTTTAGACTTAAAATCAACATCAGGGCTCAGTGATAAGGATTTTTTCAACTATCTTAAAGTCAGATCATATATAATGAAAAATCTCAGATTTCTTAACGAAAAGGAAAATTTTAAATATTTTGAACAAATTATTAACATTAAGGAAACTAAAAATGTTATTTCAAAATCCAACTCTCTACTATATAAATTGGGGAGAAAAAACTATACCTGTCAGAATTAACAAAATGGAGTAGGATTTTGGGTACAGAAATTCCCCATAAAGATTGGTGTAACTCAATATAAATCGCCACTGTCTAAATTTAAAGGAGCTACATTTTAAGATTTTAAATAGATGGCATCTAGCCCCCCAAAGAATTTACAAAATCTTTCCAACTCAATCCTCTGATTGCTGGAGATGAGGGACAAAGGTGTCAGATTTTCTCCATATTTGATGGGAGTGTCCGATTATTAAAGAATTATGGCAGGAAGTTGGAGTAAAATTAAATACAATCCTAAAACATAAGACTAGATCTGATTCGTTTACATCGTAATATACCTTGTATTAAAAAAAAATCTGAATTTATTGCTACATATGTTTACAGCAACAAAGCTAATTACTGCAAAGAATTGGAAAAAAAACCTTCCAAACCTGATTGGTGTCTGATCAAACACCAATTATGTTCTCTACTACTTATGGAAAAATATATTCCAACTCCCGGCAATAAAAGGCTGAGACAGGTTTTTGAGACAAATTAATAAGATTATTTGAGACATTGTAAATTAGAAAGTTCAAATCTATGGGAAGCCTATGGATTCACAGGAAAATGTACTATTATCTACTTATATATTTATTTACTTTTTATTTCCTATGTACAATACTGTACATAAGTTTGTGCAATGTCTAAATAAATGTAAATAATGCATAATAGGAAACAAAGTTGATATAATGAACATAATGAATTGAATGAGATAATAGCAGATTAGCACATTTTATACTACGCCTATATTTAACTTATTATATTTGTATGCATAAGTCTATTGTCTTTTGTCTTTATACCTTGTAACAAAATTTTGCAATACAAAGAAATGAAGAAGAACACAGAGACAGCATTTAAAAAAAAATACTTGGTTACAGTACGGTAAATAAAAGATGAGCTAATTACCCTCTATCAAAAAAACAAAGAAAATTCAGAAAAAAATTAACTCCTAAGATATGAAAATATCAGAATATTTGAAAGGATTAAACCAAAGCAGCTTACATTTACAGGGAAAGATCACATACTCAATTACTTAAGAATCAGAGGTGTCACAGAAGAAATAAAAATGGATTTTCTTTTTTCTTTTTTCTTTTTTTTAAGAAATAGTGGGTGATCTGGAGAAAAAAGACAACCTCTTCAAGAGAGTACATAGGTTATTTAAACTGTCAGTGTTGCCATCTAAGTATTCAAGAGACATTATTGTTTGCATCCACAGTTTCTCAAAGAAAGAAAGAATATGGTAACAAAGATATCATAAAACAATGGAATATTCCATACTCTTCCTAAGACATGAAAAATTGAAAATATTTACTAAAAGACAAACACCCAGAAAGCACACCCTAGGTTCTATTTTCCCAGCGTCTCCAGGCTATGACTTTGGCTTCTTAGCTTTGTATAAAGCTTTTTGCTAAGATTCTAAGTATTTTAAGATACTTGTTTTTTTTGTTTTGTTTTTAAATTTTTTATTTCAAGAAAAAGTTAATTGGTGTACAGGAAGGAAAAGGCAAAGGGGATGACATGACCAATACATATGTTATATCCAGTTTGCATGATGTGGAAGGAAATTAGGTTACATGACTTGAAATTACATGACGTAAAATGAAACGGCATGAAGAAGCAGCAGATACATAGATGCACAGCATTATATAACAACAGCCTTTAGTAATGCAATATTATAGGTCAGGCTCAATGGGTCCAAATCTCAAACAAGAATGGCACTGTGGATATCTCTATATCACATTGAACATTCGATAAATTGCAAACATTGATATATGTTAATTGTTCCATAGAGTTGATACAGCGTACCCTACTAGGAGTTCTAGGGCTTCCAATTTTGTAGCCCTTTTGGTGGAGTGGGGAGTGTCTATTCCCATCTCTAACTCCTGTGTCTTGGGAGGGTGGGGTGATAATGTTGGAATATGTTCGGATCAGTATGGCAGTAGCTCTAACTTTTGCATTGTTTGTGTGTGGTTGTCGATATGCATCCAACCGGTGGATGGTCTGTATGGGCAGTAGTAATAGGAGAGTCAACGATGGGTTGTGGTGGGGAGGTGGGGGGGGTGTCAGGAGGGCACATTATGTGGAATATGTGTGTATGACATTGCATCTAAGTCACCATCTGCTAGAAGCCCTTTTGTTCCCAGCCAGTATCCTGTCAGTTGGGTCTAAGTGAGTGTTTCCCCATATCCAATCTCCCCCCTCCCCAAGGGGCATCAATCTTTGGTTCATTTGCCTATTTCTTAACTTTGGGTGGCCCATAAGGGCAAGCCATGGTTTCCACATTTGTTCTGTCTGTTTCCTCCTCTCGTATGAACCCGAGGAAAGCACCTCATATCTGTAGTATTGGTATATCTTATCTATCAGCTCCTTGTTTGAGGGGCAGTAGGTGCTTTTCCAATGGAGAGCTAGGAGGTTTCTCGCTGCTAGTATGACAAGTGAGGCTAGTTTTTTGTCTTCTATCTTCCATGTAGTTGGGAAAAGCATCAGAAGTCCCATCATCGGAGTGAGCGGTTGTGTGTTAGTTATCGCTTTATTCAGGATTGCTTGTACTTGCTTCCACAAGGGTTTAATCCCGTTGCATTCCCACCAAATGTGGGTCATGGTGCCATCTTGAAATCCACATCTCCAGCATTTAGGGTCTGCTGCAGGGTAGATTTGATAGAGCCTTTGTGGGGTAAGATACCATTGGTATATTACCTTTTTTGAGCTTTTGGTGTGTATGATGCTTTTGAATTGTAGATACTGAAAAATAAGAGAGTTGGGTAATTGGAATTTACTCTGTAAATCTGGAAAGGCCAAGAACGTTGATTGGGAGCATACATCACTAATGTAGTTGATGGTGTGGGCAATCCAAGGTTTCAGCGAGAGCCATGGTGACACTCCTCGTAGTGCCCCTAGGGGAGCATGTGTGCAGAATTTTTCTTTCTCAGACCTGGTGGCCAGCAGCTTGTCCCAAATTTTTATTGTTAGTGTTGTGGTGGGGTAGACGAAGAGCCCTTGCATTTAGAATATTTCTGGTGACTACATTGTGTTCATCAGTAAGTGTGGAGGAGCTTTGAACCGCTCCATGTCTACCCATTGGAACGTGTGTCAGGGAGCTTAAAGGCCTATAGCGGATTCGAAAATGGTGGCCTCGTAGTAGGTAATCAATTTTGGGAGGCCTAGACCACCCTCCTTCTGAATAAGTTGGAGTAGAGAGAGGCAAGTAAGGTTTTGTTTTGCCCCAGGCAAATTTGTTTAAAGTGGTTTAAGATACTTTTTAAGGCCATACAGTATGGAACACCACTCAACTTATTCTCAAGTTTGAATGTGAGGTGTGTATGGATCTGAGGGGAAGTTTGAACACTTTAATATAAAAGGAAAAAGTTAATGAACACTTTGAAACATAAAAAAATAGATATAGCATTAATTTTAGAAAGTGGGTTGCTTCACAGAAAATAATGATTTTTGATAAAAGAAATCCCCACCATTTTGCAGCATGAAAAAAAAAACCTATCGATGAATCTGACTTGCAAAATCTGATGAATCTGACTTGCAAAATCTGAATTTCAAAGTCTGCACAGCACATCCTCCATTAATAAATATGCATGTCTTTTAACAAACCATCTCTCCTGACACCATATTTACAAATATGCCTTATGGATCACAAAACCAAGTGATTGCACTCTCGCATCCTCTATTACAATGCCCTACAGAATAGTACCACACTGTTTCAAGAGAGCAAGAACAATGCTTTAGGCAACGCTAAAACATAAAGCATTTAATGGAAACCTGCCTGTTATAACCATAAAATTCAAATATATGCAATTATTAAAAAAAATCCCAGTTAAATATTTAGAAATTAGCAAACATTTTCACAACAATACAAATTAAAAAAATTAGCAAACAACATTTTCACAACAATACAAATAGAAAAAGGATTTCATGATGATGGTGGTACTGTCAGAGGGAGTTCCCATTACAGTATCTATGTGTCAGGATTGTTAAGTGATCCATCATGCAGAATAATATCACATCTAGGACTAAGGATAACATATAACTGGACCTTGGAATGGCCAGACTTAACATATCCAAGAGTAGTCAGAATACTTGCCGAGGTCAGAGAAACAGAACGTGACACAATGATGAGGGAAAGCCAAAAGTTGAGGATACCAGAAATCAGGGAAGTCAAACAAAGCCAAAGTCAAATACCAGAAATACTAAGTTCAGGAACACTCTCTCGAATAACCAGCTAAGGGAAACCATGACAGGGCACTGATCAAAAGATAATATGGGTTTAAATAACCCTGCTAAAGCTGTAATTGGCTGTGGCCATGACGTGACGTCACACGCACGTAAGCACCAACTTTGATCTGGGCAAAGGCTATTTCCCTATTTAAATCAGAACCGCAGCGGCCGGCGTCTCCAGTAACGCCACACACGGTGGGAACCGGGATGGAAGGAGGTCGGACTTTGATCTGACGTGGGTAAATTAAGTGTTTGTTATTTCTGTCGGTGTGACCGCTGTATTTCAGTGCGGCCACGCCAACAGAAACCCGCAGCACTGTGACATTATGCTCGTTGTTTTCTGTGGCTGTATTTGCATATACTGCACCTGATTGTTAAGAATTAAACTTAATGTAAATGTTGATTATCCATTTCAATAATTATATTTAGCCTTCAAAGGGTAATCAACAGTGAAATCTCCAAACAATACTTGCTGTTACTATCAATGGTTTAATAAACATCAATAATGTCACATTGAGAAGAGAAGGGAAAAAAAGACACCAATCTCATGTCGACGCTAGAATTTTAACTCATCCAAAAACCTGACACAGATCAAATAAGACACACAGACCTTTTAAATGAGGCCAAATTCACTGCAAAAGGCAAACATATATGTTCTGATTATATTCCCATTATTGTGGAAGCATTTTAAATATATTAAATTAAATATTGCTGTGTTAATAATAGCATTTATAATAAATCTCTTCATGGATCAGTTGAAGGATAATGCCATAAGGTCACTTTTCTATATTGCCTTATTATAGTTACAGAATACGTTAAATACTTTTTTCCTCCTTCGATGTCCTACATATGTTTGCTTACAGTGTAATTAAAGTCTTAAGTGTGAAAGGCACTCACATTGTTAAGTGTGTTATAATCCTGCAAAAAGGAATTGATATGCAGTAAAGAGGAATAATGTCAGAAGCCAAATTATTACATCTTTATTTTCAAACATCTTTTATGTTAGTGAAAAGCATATTTTTCTATAGGCAAAAAAAAATATTTCTACTGCACATTACTAATTATATGGAAACATTATTGTTTCAAAATTTTCTGTTGCTGTATATTAAGAGTGATTTATATGAATTAAATGCTCTAACAGATGTGACCTAGGTATATAAATATGTAAAATAAGTGTTATATTGCAGCGTTTACTGTAATAAAATATATTGATCCTTGCATATCATCCACTAATTAAAAGATGCATAGTGATGATATAATTTATTTAGAAAAGTTTAGTGTTGATGTCGACTCTAATTCTACAGAGGTTTTCCTTCTATCAATTAAAAAAAAAAAAAAAAAAATACATATTTTGAATATTACTGAGAACTTCATAGATCTTTTATATTGCTTGCTTTTTTTCTTTCAAAGTTATGGTGCAATTCTTGATCCCTTTGTGATGGCTTTTTTTTTTTTTTACGTGAACCTGAGTGTCAAGCCTGCTCTACAGAACAAGATCTACTTCTTATGAGCCGCTGACATACTCTAGAATAATAAGGACTGAGCCAAATGTACATGTTGCGATCAAAACAAAACGTAAACAAAAACTTGAATTTGCGCTATATGTCTGTTCAGGCATAATTCGCCTCTTTCATATTATGTGCACCCACACTTATTATATATCATTTTATTCAGGGGAAACATGGCTTTCACTTAACATAAAATATTTAGGTATGAAACATAATTTAATATGAATAATATATAAAAAAAAATAAGAGAAAATAAGAATTTTTTACAAAAAATATTTTAGTTCTGCATGACATTCTAACTGTGAAAATCATAATACTGTTTGCTATTACTGCAATAAAATACACATTTGTATTTAGTAATGTCTCACGTGTAAAACAGCAGCCCCTATGTACAGGTTTTGTGGTATTTTGTGAAGTTACAGGGTCAAATATAGCATGTTACATTTTTCAGTTTTTTCACATTGAAATTACCAGATTGGTTACATTGCGACCGTATGGTAGCCCAGGAGAGAGAATTACCCCCATGATGGCATACCATTTGCAAAAGTAGACAACCCAAGGTATTGCAAATGGGGTGTGTCCAGTCTTTTTTAGTAGCCACTTGGTCAGTGTTTGTGACTAAGTGGCTACTAAAAAAGACTGGACACACCCCATTTGCAACAACTTAGATTGTCTACTATTTCAAATGGTATGCCATCATGGGGGTCATTTTTATTCTGGGGCTATCATATGGTCTCAAAGGCAATGTAACCGATCTGGCGAATTTCAATTTTTTTTATTTTTATTTTACAGGAGCAGGGAGACTGCCTGACAGCCCAGACAGCCCCCTGCAGGCAGATACAGGGATGCCTATTGCAGGCATGTGATCGCTCTTTCAGAATGATCACATGGCTCGTGAGGGCCTAATTTGCAGAGGGGAGACTATCTGGACTGTCAAGTAGTCCCTCCAGACCGGGAGCAATGCCGATCGCCGGTGGGGGAACAGTAATAAGGATGGCGTGACGTTCTATGCCGCCCACTGGCATTTGGAGCCACCCTAAAAAGGACGGCATAGAACGCCCATCGTTCTAGGGTTAATGTAAAGGGGTTAATGTAAAACAGTACTATTGACATACTGGTCAAAACATTTGCCCTGGATTCTAACCAACAAAGTTGCTAAAGAACCCAAACAAATTTGACAGTCTAACAGTTTTCTGTTTTCAGGGAAACAGTCCATTAAAAGTTTTTATTAAGGGTTAACTCCACCTTTAAAATAAATAAATAAAGTTCAGGCTAACCCTTTAACAGGTGCCTCATCCTAGGGGGGCTATTTAATCTTCTCCTGCAGAGAGTCCCAGGAGGAAGGATTTCCCAAGTAAGTAGATTAATCTCATATTAGCAGGCATTAAGTTGTTAGGATTGAACATGCCAAAAATGGTGTACATTGGCGTTGTGTCAGGCTTATGCAATGTATGATCATATACTGTAACTAAACCCCCATTCTTCTTGCCTAGGTTAGGTGATTTTAAAACATTACAGAGGTTTGCTGAAACGAAACAGATTGTTCCTCTAGCATTGAGAACTGACTTCTTCTCCTATAGGAAAACAGGTATAGATTAGTTTGTAATATAAATTGATATGGTTTGGAAGAGTACGGTTGGATGTGAGCTGACTTAGTTATAAATAAAATGCACTAACTGATATATTACAAATGCTTACAGTTACAAACTGTGTATGCATTAATATAAACAACTAAAGGGATACTCCAGGCACCAAAACAACGTCATCTAAAAAACGTGATGATGGTGCCAAGAAGTCCATGGAGGCACTCTTACCTCAAGTGATTAAACCATTCTCAAACAATTTAAATCCAAAGTTGCCTCCAGTGGTGATGTCCACTTCCCCTCTGGCAACATCCGGCTTCTGAATTTTCAGATTCAGGAAGTATGGAGTGCTGATTCAGGAGTGTCGCTGATTGGCTGAGAGCATTCAGCTGATGCTCTCAGACAAACAGTTACTCCCCATGCACTAAACTAGCTTGGAAAGAAATGTACCTTTCTCAAGTCAGTTTAGTGAATGGGGAGTCACTGATTGGCTGAGAGTGTCAGATGACTGCTCTCAGCTAATCAGCGGTACCCCTGCCAAGATCCATAAAGATATGAACAGACCTCCTGCCCGCCCCATTGTTTCTGCTATTGAAGGTATTTTAGAGCCTATAGCACAATGGTTGGATTTTATTTTTAAAGGGCCAGTTAGGGGTTTCATACATGTATCAATGATTCACAAACTCTCATACACAGGATCAAGACCTTGGAGTTCAATGGCACAGTTCCAATATTCATCACCATGGATGTCAAAAGTTTATACACGGTCATTACCCATATAGGGGGCATTGAGGCGATGCGACAAGTGTTATACGTCTATCAAGGTCCACCTGTTGGAACTTTTGTCTCTAATTCTCCACAACAACCACTTTAGATTTGAAGACCAGTGGTTCTTACAAGTGGCAGGAACATCTATGGGGTCGGCTATGGCCACAATGTGCGCCAACATGTACATGTATGAAACACTACATATACTGACCCCTTATCAAGATCAGATCATTGGGTACTACTGCTATATAGATGATCTTCTGATCCTATGGCGAGGTTCACAAACTGAGGCATACACCATGGTAACCGAGCTAAACTTACTCCTGACGCCCATAAAATTCACAGCTAACATCAGTGAGGACAGAGTCCAATATTTGGATCTAGAACTGTCCTATGGGGTAAATGGTGTCCAGTATACTTTATTTTCAAAACCAACTGACCGCAACACCTTGTTGCATGCAAACAGTGCACACCCTGTTCCTTTGAAAAAGTCCATCCCAAAGGCGCAAGAGTTATTCGAAATAACGCCGATGAGAACAATGCTGAGATACAATTGAAAGCCATGACCCAGAAGTTTTTGGAGATGGGGTATGAAATTCAGGCATTAGAAGATGCACTATTGAAAGCTAGATCAGCCCCGGTGCACGTAAAGATGGATCCTGTACAAAGAATAGTATTCCCGATGACATTCCATAATTCTTCTAATCTGGTATCAGCAATTGTCAAAGACAACTGGAAAATGGTCGCCTCGGAAGACACTCTGCCAAAGATCTTCAAGGAAAGCCCATTAATTTGTTATAGGAAGAACAAGAGTCTTAGGGACATGATGGTGCACACAGACTCTGTGGAGAGCTACTCTCGGAAAGTCAAACACAATGTACGGGGGAGTATACGATGCTTGGGGTGCGTGACTTTTGGACATATGATTCCAGCAAAAAGATTTAACCATCCACACACCAACAAAGTATATGACATAAGATACACCATTACCTGTAAAACCCCATTTGTTGTTTATAAACTGGTATGCCCGTGTGGTCTCCACTATGTGGGGAAGACAGAGACGCCCTTATGCGAGAGAATCAGGGGCCATCGCTCGAGCATCAGATTAGCATACAGGGACGGGCAATCAGACAAGTTTGTTGCCCAAAATTTTTTAGACAAAAAAGCATCTTTTGGCATCCCTTAAGTTTGTAGGTATAGATCATATCCCTCCCCCCGTAGAGGGGGTAATAGAGGGAAGATGTTGCTCCAAAAAGAGGCTCTTTGGATACACCAATTAAACACGGTGTCTCCCAGGGGACTAAATGAGAATATTACATACCATTCTTTCATATAGGAGTTACCAGCTAGCTAGTATTAATTTAATTAAGTGTAAATGCATTTCCTAGCGAAACAGAAGTAGGATTAGTTTCTATGTATATAAATTGTTTAATTTATACATACCATTCTTTCATATAGGAGTTACCAGCTAGCTAGTATTAATTTAATTAAGTGTAAATGCATTTCCTAGCGAAACAGAAGTAGGATTAGTTTCTATGTATATAAATTGTTTATCCTAATGCAGAAAGATAAGTCCTGCGCTCACTCCCATCACTTCTGGGCGGCAGCAAAGACTACAGTACACATCAGCCCCAATATATAGTAAAAACCAAAGAAAAACAAGTTACCTGCGCTCTCTCCTTATTATGTATTTTTAAACAAATGGAGGTTTTTTTAGTTACCTCCAATGGCCATGAGAGGATAAGCCACCTGCCAACGTTATATACACCCCTATATATTATTAACCCTTAATAGGGAACACATATTTGGTGGACTTTTTCTGTTTTTATTACTATTTGTATTTTATGTTCAATAAATTGTACCTTTAACGTTATCCTGCATCCTGGGTCTTTTGAAGATACTATTCTTGACACAACAGGAAGTATCCTGGTTCCAGCAGATATCCACCATTACAGCTGCTTTTCTCCGCTTTATAGTCTGTCAGCTTTTAAAGTGACTCAGCTATATGTTAGTTTGACCAATAATATAATAATAATGGTGTTTTAATATTAGTTTTTACTATATTACCCTATGGTCTTTTATCTCATTTTTAAGGAATATACCCTATGAATTATTGGTAAATTTTATGACTATTGAGTACTCTCACCATTCTGTGTATTTCACTATATATAATTTGTATATCAAAATAGAATATGCACATACAATAGTGTGCAAATTGATTGGGATAAAATGGTAAGCATTAAAATTTTCAGATATTTTATTTCCATATCTCTATGTACACTTACATTACCTAATATTAGTAAAAAATGTGTCCTCTATTATCTGAAATGACCTCCTGCATACATTCAATTTAGAACAAATATCTTTAACTTTGTTGTCGTAAAACTACACTAATATAAATATATAAATTATATAATTTTCTCAGGCATACGCTTATTGAACAGTCTCGTTTTCCAAGATATTTCTTGTGAATTCTCCACAAATTTTCCATATGGCCTAAGTCTGGAGAATTACCAGGCCAATCAAGCATCAAGCACATAGATTTTTTTCCCAGCATCAACTTCTTGACAGTTTTTGAATTGTTGCAGAGGCCCAGTCTTGTTGAAATGTACCTGCAATAGAAAAGCAATCCTGTTAAGGATTTTGATGTACTTTGATAAATTCATCATATTACTAATTGGAACTAGGCTTCAAGAACCATCTACTGTAAACCCCCCACCCCACCAAAAAAATACAAAGATAAAAATGTGTTTTGAAACTTGTTTTACAGTCTGTTTGAGATGCTCAGTTCTTATTGGGTTACAGCTGCTTTATATGGTAACACTTGATCTGTAACTGTGAACAACAAAATGTGACCTCATTGCAGAAAAATATCTTTTTCATCAGGGGTCCAAGATTTATACTTTTTAGTCCATGTCATTTTTTTCTTCATGTGAGATGTCAACAATTACCATTTTATTGGCTTTCTTGCTTTCCACTCAGCTTTAAGAAGCCAACGCCTTACTGTGGAAGAACCTGTGTCAATACCAGTTTGTCCTTCCTTCCTACCTGTATGTTCAACACCAGTTTGTCCTTCCTTCCTACCTGTGCTAGTAACTAGATAGCACAAGCTTCCCAACCACTAGTATATTATACAAGCAATTAGCTATTGGAAGCTTACTGTTTATGTCAGGATCCTATCCTAATAACCAATAAATTATTTTTCTTTTATTACTGCAATACCTGTTTCTCACCTCTAGTGGCCTCCCTAGCTATTAGTCAATCCTCAGTCACTCTCACCTGCCTCATATGATCTTCCAAGTCTGCAACACCCAACTCATC